TGAAGTTGGGGTTCAGAGGTGTGTGTGCAGCTCGTGTCCAGGTACCTGGTTGGTCTGTACTGCTGGTGGCCCTCCTCTGATTGGTCAGCAGTATCATGCTTTTTTAGGGAGTTTTGATGATGGCAGAGTAGGCTCCAGTGAGTCAGGATGGCAGTTACTTCTTGCTTGGAGTTCCTAAAGGAAAAATCCCTCAAGACAATACCAAACATCAGGTTGTTATCTGTAGGGGAGATGAATGACCTCATGGGACTTGTGTCCTGGGACTCTGTAGGGCCGGTGACTTAATTTTATTTATTTTTAAAGATTTATTTTATTTATTTGAGGCCAGCGCTGCAGCTCACTAGGCTAATCCTCCACTTGCGGCGCTGGTACTACAGGTTCTAGTCCCAGTTGGGGTGCCAGATTCTGTCCCGGTTACTCCTCTTGCAATCCAGCTCTCTGCTGTGGCCCTGGGAAGGCAATGGAGGATGGCCCAAGTGCTTGGGCCCTGCACCCGCATGGGAGACCAGGAGGAAGCACCTGGCTCCTGGCTTCGGATCGGCGCAGGTAGGCCACAGCGCACTGGCCGTAGCAGCTGTTTGGGGGGTGAACCAATGGAAGGAAGACCTTTCTCTCTCTCTCTCTTACTGTCTAACTCTGCCTATCAAAAAAAAAAATTATGTTATTTATTTGAAAGAAAGAGATACAGAGAGAGGTAGAGACAGAGAGAGAGGTCTTCCATCTGCTGGTTTACTCCCCAGATGGCCACAACAGCTGGAGATGCTCTGATCTGAAGCCAGGAGCCAGGTGCTTCTCCTGGTCTCTCTTGCGGGTGCAGGGCCCAAGGACTTGGGTCATCCTCCACTGCTCTCCCGGGCCACAGCAGAGAGCTGGACTGGAAAAGGAGCAACCGAGACAGAACCAGCGCCCCAACCAGGACTAGAACCTGGGGTGCCAGTGCCTCAGTCAGAGGATTAGCCTAGTGAGCCGCGGCGCCAGCTTGGGCCATCCTCCACTGCACTCCCGGGCCACAGCAGAGAGCTGGATCAGAAGAGGAGCAGCCAGGACTAGAACCGGTGCCCATATGGGATGCCGGCGCTTCAGGCCAGGGCTTTAACCTGATGGGCCACAGCAACAGCCCCCAGTGAGTTAATTTTAGAAAAGCAGGGCAAAGAAAGTTTAAGCTATGTACAGGAGGGAGGCTGGGAGGATCTGAAAGTATCTAGCAGATAGATGTTAGAGACAATTATTTCCATGTCTCTCACTGAGCAGTCGTTCTGAGCTATCTCATTCATCATCTCAGTGTCTCCCCAGGAGGGGATGATGTACCAATGGAGTTCAAGGTGATTTGAAGAACACACACGGGATAGGACACAAAATTTTTTTATATGACCAGTTTATTTGAGGTAAAAATGAAACTAACATCATATTCTTGGTTTTGTGCCACGTGGAATTAAGCTTAGGATTTAAAGAAAAATATTAGGTAATTTTAAATGGAGGTGTTTCAAGAGATGGCTAAATATACAAAGATAGCCGCAGATGGCAGGAAGTGTGACAGCACTGGTGAGCTGAATCAGCACAGGTGTGAGTCCCAGCACCTCTTGGTTTCAGTGATGTAGCTTTGGCTTTGTGGAGATGGTGTGAATTTCTTCCTCATAGGTAGCCCTTGCCACCAGTAACGCCTCTTAGCAGCCAGTCACCAGGGCGGGTAGCATCAGCTGTGAATGCGCGAATCTAGGTAAGGAGGCGACGTGCCACGTTGGCAGTTTAGAATGGCCTGTCATCACTTACCACCTTTCAACCTGAAGTTTTCTGTAAAGGGCTAGCAGAAATCATTTGGTTATCTCTAATTCTGAGAGACTCCGTGTGCTCAAAGTGTGAAATGTAACATTTTCTGTGTTTGCATAAATCTGACTGTTTTCACCATTGCTTTGTTTGTAAGAGACCCGTTTTCTCTCCCATCCGTCGCTAGCTCAGAGACCTTGTTCTCCTTATGCCCTTCCTGCCTGTTTTTTTCTGTGTATCGCTCAAAAAGCCACAGACTAGCAGCCTCGCTTCACCCCTGGACCCAGTCTTACAGCTGTGTCTGCTGGGTTTGCTTCCTTCCTGCCCACCCCTCCAGTCCGCCTTCTGGGAGTGGTGAGGTGAACACAGCAGAGCTGTCTCAGCGGCCTCTGAGCACCCCTCACCTCTCCTTGCTGCTCTGAGAGAGGGCTTCCTCCTGGGCACGCTGCTTCTCCCGCAAGCCTATCCAAGGATGCCTCTTCTCCCCCTTCGTATTCCTTGTACTGTTGGACTAGAAAATAGGATACGTGTCTCCCCACTGCCACTTGCGGAAGTTCTTGGCTCTTCCACAGAGCCCCAGTGAGGAGTCTCCGTTCCTCAGGCCACCTCTCAGCCTTCCTGTTAGCATCCTCAGGCACCCACAGCCTCACTGGAGGTTTGTCCAGGAAGCCTGCCTGCGGCTCCCCAGTGGTCTTCCTCACAGTTCTTGGTGAACTCAGAGTCCATGTGGACACCCCAGCCTCAGTCTCTGTCCGCCTTCTGTGAGCTTGCCCACTGCGCTGTCGCAGCCACTCAAGCACGTGGTCACACCTGCCACCAAGTCCAGCTCACTGTCACTGCAGTCCCTTCAGAGTCTCCTTCCCGGGCTTCCAACTGCGCTGCCACCCTGCGCCCAGGGAGCTCCCCTGGGACCCTGACTCTGCAGCCCCCGATCTGCCCCTCCCCTGCTCCCACTCTGCTCTCCTGCTGTGGCAGCAGCATTTCCCAGAGCGCTTGCTTCCGTCCTGTCTCCTGCTCCCTCCCATTCCGAAGCCCCCCACTCAAGCCTCCTGCCTGTGCCTCCACTGAAACTGCCCTGGTCGAGGTCGACAGCTTTCCAAATCCAGCGGTCAGCACGGTCAGCTCGTATTCCTACTATAACCTGTTAGCTGCATTTGAAACACTTGATCTCTCCCTCCCGCGAATAACCTTTGTTCATTTAGCTCCCAGGACACCAGGTGTTCTCGCGCCTCAGTGGTCAGTTCATAGTACCCTCGGCTGAGTCCTTTTCTTCTGACTTTTTGATGCTAGGATGTCCAGGACGTGGACTTGGACTCTTTGTTGCTATGCTCACTCCCTTGTCATGGCCCTTGAATTTTACTCTTCACTGTTGAACTCCAGAATTTCACATCCAACTTCTTACTCAGCTTTTTCCCCTTGGTGGCAGTAGACATCTCAAATACGACATGCTTATAACCAAACTCTTGGGTTTGAGTTTGTTTGTTAAGATTTTATTTATTTGAGAGGCAGAGTTACAGAGAGAGAGGTCTTCCATCCATTGGCTCCATCCTCAAATGACCACAATGGCCAGAGCTGGGCTGATCTGAAGCCAAGAGCTTCTTCTAGGTCTCCCACATGGGTGCAGGGGCCCATGCACTTGGCCCATTTTCCACTGCTTTCCCAGGCACATTAGCAGGGAACTGCGGTGGAAATGGAGCAGCTGGGACTCAAACCAGCATCCGTATGGATGCCAGCGCTGCAGGCGGAGGCTTGTGCCGCAGCACCAACCCCCAACAAACTCCTGGTCTTAACTGCAAATCTTTTCTTCCCACATTTCTCCCCTCTCAGTAAAAGACAACTCCATCCTCACATTTGTTCACACCAAAATCTCAGCGTCTCCTTGATTCCTGCCTTTCAAAGCTCAGCCAAGTGTTGGCTTTACATCAGTATACTAGAATTCAGACTCCACTCATACAGCCAAGTCCACATCATTATCATGTTTTACCTGAGTCACTGCAGCCACCAGTTGGCCTCCCTGTTAACACCTGGCCCCGCCACTCTGTCTTTTCTTACCCAGCAGTCAGCAGGATCCCTGCATTTTAAAGTCTTCAGTTTGAAAGTTAAATCATGTCACTCCGTGAACTACCTCCAAGCCTGTACTCATCTAGCGGTTGAAATAACCCCTTATGTTGTTAACTTCACTCAGTATCAGTGTTTTCACTTGAAAGAAAGAAAGCTGATTTTTTTATTTTCAGAGAATTACACTGTTATCTTTACAATTGATATTGACGTTCCTTGGAACATCAAAAGATTGTGTTTCCTCTGAGAATTATAAAAATCTGTGTTTGAAGTGTATGTTCTTTTGCTAAGCACCCTACTGTGAGACATGGGCTTTTAATCTATATTGCCCACCAAGAGGGAGATATCTCTTTGTCTTGGAACTACTGTGTTCGTTCAAAGTAAGAACCACAAGAAAATAGAATTGAATGGAGATCTCTTTGAGCCTTCAAAGATTCTGAGGGATAGTTCATACTGAAGGTCACACAAGTTTGTAGTGAAGAAGCTGAATTCACATCTGACTCTTGCCATACGCCATTAGCTTACTAGAATGTCCATTTAGCCAGTTTTATCACTGGTAAGATACTAAACAACTATTGGTTTTTTAAATGTAATGGTCCTGGGGAAGTAAGGAAATTCATTTTTAATTCAATTAAAGAAGCTATGATTCTAGGCCTTATTAACTACAAAGCTTTTGAATATTCTTTTACCTTTTTTTTAAATTTTCTTTTAAAATATACTTATTTGTAAGGCAGAGTAACAGGGAAGAAAAGACAGAAATCTTCATCCCCTGGTGTGTCCCCAAGTGGCTGCAACAGCCAGATCTGGGTCAGGCCCAAGCCAGGAGCCAGGAACTCCATTCTAGTCTCCCACATAGGTGGCAAGTACTTGGGCCGTCCTCCACTGCCTTCCCAGGCACATTAGCAATAAGCTGCGTCAGAAGCAGGGCAGCCAGGACTCGAACTAGCTCTATGATAGAGGATGCCACCCTGACCATGGTCTCTCTCTCAAACTTGCACTAAGAGTTCTAAAATAAGGCTGTGTCTAAATCCTTAACATTTGAGGTAGAGAGAAGTGAGGGATTAATAGTTCAGAATTTTAAAAATCATCCCAAGACTTACCATGTACCCAAATTTAATTTCTCAGTCTCTGCGGTGTGATTTGACAAGATGTCTTACAGCATGTGTTTATCTCTGCAGCGATCCTGCCATGAAGCAGTTTCTGCTGTACTTGGATGAATCCAATGCCCTAGGGAAGAAGTTCATCATTCAAGACATTGATGACACCCATGTCTTCGTAATAGCAGAGTTGGTTAACGTCCTCCAGGAGCGAGTAGGTGAATTAATGGACCAAAATGCCTTTTCTCTTACCCAGAAGTGAAAATAAAGATACTGACCACTTGGGAATTGCAAGCAACAATGTGAAAGACTGTCCCCACCCAGTGTTTTCCGTGTTTTATGTGACTGAGCAGACATGAGGCAAATGCTGCAGAAAAGACCATGGGATCATTTATTCAGGAAAACACCCTGAGCTGATTTGTTTTACACTAGAATTAAAAAAACAAAAACGAAATCCTCTAACAGTTGTCTGTGATTTGATTTTTATTGTCCTTTATTAAAAGATTGTGGGGGGGCCAGTCCTGTGGCACAGTGGGTTAATCTTCCGCCTGTGGCGCCGGCATCCCGTATGGGCACTGGTTCTAGTCCCAGCTGCCCCTCTTCTGATCCAGCTCTCTGCTATGGCCTGGGAAAGCAGTGGAGGATGGCCTGGATGCTTGGGCCCCTGCACCCCATGGGAGACCGGGAGGAGGCACCTGGCTCCTGGATTCGGATCGGCACAGCTCTGGTTGTTTGTGGCCATCTGGGGAGTGAGCCAACGGAAGGAAGACCTTTCTCTCTGTTTCTCCCTCTCACTGTCTGTAACTCTGCCTCTCAAATAAATAAATAAAATCTTTTAAAAAAATACGAATGTAGGGGCTGGTGTTACACAGATTATGCTTGGAATGCCTGTATCTCCTACTGGAGAGCCTGGGATCAAGTCCTGCCTCTACTTCTTCCTATCCAGCTTCCTGCTAATGAGCCTGGAAGGCAGCAGATGATAGCCATGCCCAGGGTTCCTGCCATCCACTTGAGAGACTCCTGGAGCTCCTGGCTTGGCCCGGCCAGCCCCAGCTCTTTGGAGCATTTGGGGAGTAAACCTGCAAATGGTAGATCTCTTCCCCCTCACCCCCACCTCTCTCACCATCACTCTGCCTCTTAAACATCTTTGTACATAAAGTTAACGTGATATTTGGCCTGCCCGTATCAGAGTGCCCAGGTTTGAGTCCCAGACCCGCTCCTGATTCCAGCTTCCTCTTAAGGTACATCCTAGAATCAGCAGGTGATGGCACAAGTTGGCGGGGTCCCTGTTGCCTGTGTGGCAAACCTAGATGGAGTCCCAGTCATTAGAGGCATTTGGGGAGTGAACCAACAAATGGGAGCTCTCCATCTCGATACCAATTTCATACATTACAAGGTGGAGGCTGGGGTTGTGGAGAAGCAGGTTAAGCCACCTCCTGCAACTCTCGCATCCTATATCAGAGCGGTTCCAGTCCTGGCTGCTCCACTTCTGATCTGGCTTCCTGCTAATGCACCTGGAAAAGCAGCAGAGAATGGCCAAGAACTTGGGCCCTTGCCACCCATGTGGGGAAATTCAGATGGTGTTCCAGGCTTCTGGCCCAGCCCTAGCTGTTGCAGCCATTTAGGGAGTGAACCAGCAGGTAGGAGACTCCTTCTCAGTCACCCTTGCCCTCCCTGCCATCCCTCCTTCCCCCTCCCTTTCCGTCTCCCTCTCTCTCCCCATGTATGTCGGTCTGCCTTTCGAATGAATAAACAATATATTGGAGTATATCTTGAATTGTCAGTGTAACCTGGGTGCATATTTTGTTTGGTCCTATTAAGGCTTGTGGGTTTTTAGAGTGTGAATCTGGTGGTTTTGTTTCAGTTGGAACCTTTGCAGATTTATTGTGTAGATAAATTTGCCCAGATGGTGGGAACTTTGACAATACTTTTTTTTTAAAAAAGATTTATTTATTTATTTGAAAGTCAGTTATGCAGAGAGAGGGAGGTCTTCCGTCCTCTGATTCATTCCCCAGTTGGCCGCAACGGCCGGAGCTTCACCAGTCTGAAGCCAGGAGCTTCTTCTGGGTCTTCCCATGAGGGTGTAGGGGTCCAAGGACTTGGGCCATCTTCTACTGCTTCCCCAGGCCATAGCAGAGAGCTGGATTGGAAGTGGAGCAGCCGGGACTCGAACTGGCACCTACATGGGACGCCAGCATTGAAGGCAGTGGCTTTACTTACTACGCTGCAGCGCCAGCCCCACATTTTTTTATTTATAAATAAGGGTGATTTTATTTTAGCTTCATTTTCATGACTGACTTTTGTCGTGCCTCCCGGAATTTCTAGAACAGTGTTGAATAACATTTCAGGTGAATGTTTTTGGCTTCAGCCTCACTTTAGTCGCTCTCTGCACATGGCCACATCGCTCTGAAATGGTAGACCAGGCCGAGCTGGAGAATGTTCTCCCGTGCTGGGTGACTAGAGCTTTCGCACAGGTCTTCCAAACCTATGTCTCAGTCATTCTAAAATTAAATTTGGGTTTGGTCATTTGTTATTTCCTCTAGAAGTCGTAGAGTCTGAGAGCAGTCGGGTTGGCCTGTATTCGTACATCATTTGTTCTCATCAGATAATTATACAGCTTTCGCCCAGTATTCCAGGGCAAGAGGGGTGTGGGGTGGAGAGTACTGTTGTTAATCTTGGCAGGCTGGTTTGTTGGTAAAAGTAAGGGTTTTGGAGTCAGATAAAAAATGTTAGTTCTGGGGGCTGGCACTGTGGTGTAGTGGGTGGAGCCGCCTCCTGCAGTGCTGGCATCCTATATGGGCACCGGTTCAAGTCCCAGCTGTTGTTCTTCGGATCCAGCTCTCTGCTATGGTCTGGGAAAGCAGCAGAAGATGGCCCAATTTGGGCCCCTGCACCCACGTAGGAGATCTGGAAGAAGCTCCTGGCTCCTGGCTTTGTATTGGCCCAGTTTGCTATCCTTGTGGACATTTGGGGTATGAACCAGCAGATGAAAGACCTCTCTCTGCTTCTGCCTCTCTGTAACTCTTTCTTTCAAATAAATAATAAAAAGTAAATATTAAAAAAAACTGGAGGGGCTGGTGCTGTGGCACAGCGGGTTAACGCCCTGGCCTGAAGCATCCCATATGGGCGCTGGTTTGAGACCTGGCTGCTCCACTTCTGATTCATCTCTCTGCTGTGGCCTGGGAGAGCAGTGGGAGATAGCCCAGGTCCTTGGACCCCTGCACCCACGTGGGAGACCTGGAAGAAGCTCCTGGCTCCTGGCTTTGGATAGGCGCAGCTCCACCCATTGAGGCCAATTGGGGAGTGAACCAACAAGTGGAAGACCTCTCTCTATCTCTCCTCTCTCTGTATAACTCTGACTTTAAAATAAATAAATCTTAAAAAAAAAAAAAAAGTGTGGAGACCATGGGTATTTGACACAATGTTTAAGGTGCCATGTGGGATATCCACATCCCATATCAGAACCCCTGGGTTCAATCCCAGTTCCACTTTTTTTTTTTTTTTTTTTTAAGATTTATTTTATTTTTTTGTAAGAGTTACAGAGAGAGAGAGAGGGAGAGGTCTTCCATCCACTGGTTCACTCCCCAGATGGCCGCAACGGCTGGAGATACGCCGATCCAAAGCCAGGAGCCAGGAGCTTCTTCCGGGTCTCCTGCATGGGTGCAGGGGCCCAAGGACTTGGGCCATCTTCTGCTATTCCAGGCCACAGCAGAGAGCTGGATCGGAAGAGGAGCAGCGGGGACTAGAACCAGTGCCCATATGGGATGCCGGTGCTTCAGGCCAGGGTGTTAACCCGCTGCACCACAGTGCCGGCCCCCACTTTTTTTTCTTTTTAAGATTTTATTTATTTTTTGTGAAGTAGAGTTACAGAGAGAGGGAGCGACAGAAAGGTCTTCCATCCTGATGCTTGTACATTCCTCAAATGGCTATAAAGCCAGAGCTGAGCCAATCTGAAATCAGGAGCCAGGGGCTTCTTCTGGATCTCCTACGTGGGTGCAGAAGCCCAAGGACTTGGGCCATCTTCCACTCCTTTCCCAGACCATAGCAGAGAGCTGGGTCAGAAGTGGAGCCAGGACAGGAACCTGCTCCCACATGGGATAGCAGCACCACAAGCAGAGGCTTAGCCTACTACACCACAGCGCCAGCCCCCAGCTCCACTTTTGATCTAGCTTCCTGCTCGTATGTACTCTGCGAGGCAGCAAGGGATGCCTAAGTACCTGGGTCCTGGCTTTGGCCTGGCCTGGCTGGCCAGCCCTGGCTATTATGGGCATTTGCAGAATGAACCAGCAAATGAAAAAATTCTCTCTGTCTCTGTCTCTGTCTCTGCCTTTCAAATAAAATGAAAAACAATTAGGTAGTAATCAGAGTTATTAATGGTTTTGTTCCTGTTAACATTGCCTGCAACAGAGGTAATTTTACATAATTGTGCTTTTCCTAGAAGCTGGTAAGTAATACCCTTACTCTGTTTTGTGTTGCACATGAAACCTCAGCACATATTAAAGCAGAAAGAACTAAGAGCCCTGCCACGGAGCCAGCATGCGGCACAGCAGGTTAGGCTGCTGCTTGTGACACTGGCATCCCGTATCAGAGCGCCAGTTTGAGTCCCAGCTGTTCCACTTCAATCCAGTTTCCTGCAAATACCTGGGAACGCAGTGGAAGATGCCCAAGTCCTTAGGCCTCTGGCCACGTGGCAGACCCAGATGGAGTTCCTGGCTCCTCGTTTTGGCTTGGCCCAGACCTGGCTGTTGGGTGCACTTGGGGAGTGAGTGAACCAGCAGGTGAAAGATCTCTCCCTGCCCCACCCCTCAGACGCCACCCCCACCCCGTTGTTCTGTCTTTCAGATAAACTTTTTTTTAAAAATGTTGGTGACAATCTTCAAATTTTTCTAAGACTATAATAACATTCCTACTTCCCCATCTCAATTCGATCATGCTATTCTAACACTTCTGCTGTTTTCACTTAATTTTTCATGATCTTTAGTGTACAGGAAACAGGACTTCCACGTCAGAGGGGAATTCTTCTTCTGATTTCTTAGGCATGTTATATTGATGGCGGAGCTTTTTCATGTTGCTGCCTCGCCTCAGCCCCCAGCTCCCCCAGTTTAATTGTCCTGGAACAGGACAAAGCATCAACACTTCTAGGCCTTCCCTGTTAAAAATGGTGTCCTTAATGTGTAGTCAGCTGAGAACCCAGGCCCAGGCCCAGTATGTGCACAAGAGACTTTGGGTAGGAGGTTTTGTTTGGGAATTTTGTTTGGCTTCCAGGAGGCTAAGCTACCAGCACAGCTGTTTCCTTTTACTGCCAAGGAAGTGCTGAGCCTCCCCAGCAAGGAACCAGCGTTTGTTAAAACCCACTAATTAGACAGCAGATGCTCCAAGTAGTGCAGCATCTTATTTGTGAACGATTGCTGGCCTGGTTTGCATCCTTTGGTAAGACTGAGGAAGGCAATGACAGCACTCTTAATTGGTTGGTTTTTTTTTTTTTTAAACCATGAGTTCAGTGCTAAAATATTTGGTCATTTGTTTATTTCCTGTTTACCATGTGTAATTATTTTAATATAACAGTTATGCTGTGTCCAATTATGGTTTCCCAAGCAGGGTCTTTGTGATTGGGATGTCTGAAATTCAGCATTGTTCCATAGCTCTCAGTCACTTCTGTGTCTCCCCAAAATGCTCACTAACATCTGTACCTACACAAGGTCTTTGGCTGGATGTGTGTGACTTATATTTTGTTAAATTAAGGAGGGAAGTTGAGTTTCACACTCAAGCTAACAGGGAGAGCAGAGGCAGGACTGTGAGTGATGTGTGAAACAAACTAACTTAGTGACAAGAAGAATTCACAGAAATCTTGATGAAGGTTTTGAACTTCCATAGAACACAGAACAGAAGAGTTAGTCTTACTAAAAAGAATGAATCCTGGGGCCGGTGCTGTGGCATAGCAGGTAAAGCCACCACCTGCAGCACCGGCATCCCATATGTATGCAGGTTCTAGTCCTGGCTGCTCAACCTCCAATCCAGCTCCCTGCTAATGAAAGCAGGGGAAGATGTCCAAGTCCTCGGGCCCCTACACCCACATGGGAGACCTGGAAGAAACTGTAGGCTCCTGGCTTCAGCTTGGCCTGTTGTCAGCCATTGCAGCCATTTAGGGAGTAAACCAGTAGATGGCAGATCTGTCTCTTCTTCTCTCTGTAACTCTGCCTTTCAAATAAATTAAAAAAAAAAAAAAAAAAAAGACTCCTAGTATTTGAAGTTGTAATTTACAATGAATGCATCTTAGAAGTTTTAGTAGAAACAACCATGTCTAAAAGGAAGTTCTCTATGAATTTTTAAACCTTTACAGTTATACTAGGCAGTTGATCCAACAGCGGTTCCGAAATTTTCCCAGCATAAAGTTATTAAGGCAGATATGCTGGGAGGGTTTCTCCTCTTACCTTTAGTGTGCATACAGATCTCCCGGGAATCTTGTTAAAGTGCAGCGTCTGCTTGAGTCAGTCTGGGCCGGGCCCTGGATTCTGCGTTTCCAGGGAACTTCCGGGTGATGGCAGTGCTGGGGTTTGGCAGGTCACATTTGAGTAGCTAAACTCTGCTGCACAAGAGGGAATAGCTCGCATTTAGCAGGAGTACAGGTGCCTTCTCCCTAAGCTGTTTTATTGTTTTGTTCTTTCAGTCTTGTATGCACTGGTAGAGAGCAGCCAGTCCTGGAAACCCTCCCAGTCCTATGGGGCACACGTCGGGGCGCTAGCTTAACTGTGTCTTTCAGCCTCGTGTCCTGCAATTTCCTTCACTCAGAATTCCTGCTTTTCTGTGAAAGCATCCGAGCATGCACAAATCCATTGAATCCTGGCTTAACATCTGTATCACTCGATGCTAACATTCATATTTGATTCTGATTTTAAAGAAATAGTACAGAGTTGAATTCTCTTTTGTGGTCTTCCCCAGTCACAGTCCTCCTACTCTTCCAAAGATAGCTCTACCATGAAGTTGATGTCTAAGCATCCGTATGTTTCAATTGTCTTAGTGTGAGTACATAAAAAAATACTTACCATTGGAGCTGGCCTTGTATGCCGCAGGTTAAGCTACCACTTACAGTGCTAGCCTCTCATATGGGAGTGTCAGTTCAAATCCCAGCTGCTCCACTTCCATCCAGCTCCGGGCTAATGCTCCTGGGAAAGCAACAAAAGGTGGCCCAAGTTCTTGGGCCCTCCCACCCAGGTGGGAGACCTGGATGGAGCTGTGGCTTCTGGATTCAGCCTGGCCCAGCGTAGGCCACTGCAGCCATTTGGGGAGTAAACCAGAAGATAGAAGATGTTTGTCTCTCCTGTCTCTGTCACTCTGCCTTTCAAATAAATAAATCCTTTCTTTAAAATAGACACACCATTGTGTGTTCTCTAAAGCATGAGTTATACCCAAGGGGTATCACGCTGTAAGCTGCTATTCTACAGGTCTTTTTGTGCTGTTTTTGAGATCTATCCATGTTGATAAATGAGATTTTTATCTAGCTCGAGTATAGCTGTTTACCATTCAGTCGTATAAATACGAGTGTTCCTTACTCCACTCCACAAGTAGAGCTAACTGGGTCAGAAGTTAGGCCCATTTTCAACTTCACACTGCGTTGCCAGTTTTTTCCAAAATGGTTGAGTCAATACTGCACTAGTAATATGTTAAAGTTCCAGTCTCTCCACATACTTGCCAACACTTTTTTTTTACTAATATCATAGATTTCAGTGGAATTTAACCTCAACTGTTTTCTTTACATTCATTTTTGAAAGCTATTTCAGTCGTGTGTGTGTAGCAGGGATAACATATCTTGTGTTTTATGGGAAATGTGTAGTATGGCTGCCTCATTTTTATTTCTGTGGGTTGACCTTCACTCTAGCCAATGTTCTGACACTAAACCCATGGAAAAATACTGTTTCTAACAATCAGATTACAGATGAGCTGATAAGCAGTTTATAATCAGAAACTGGAGGCTTCCTGCAATAAACTAGTTTCCCCTTTATTTCTAAATTTTATTAAAAAATATTAAACATTTTCAGCTGCTAAGCATTGGGTAAGAGTTAATCTGCTCCCAAAGGTAATTGATAAAATGCTAGAAATAGATTTTTCAAGTTTAATTTCTTTAAGCAAGCTTTTTTATGAGAGTGTGACAGAAAAGTTTACAAGTCTTAAATGCACAAATCTTTGAGTTTACACAAACCGAGCACACTTCTGAGCATCCAAATCAAGAAAAAGAAATTTGGGGCTGGCGTTGTGGCGTGCCACACGCAGTGCTCACATTCTGTATGAGCTCTGGTTCAAGTCCTGGCTGCTCCACTTCTGATCCAGCTTCCTGCTACTGTGCCTGGGAAAGCAGCAAAAGATGACCCTAGTGCTTGAGCCCCTGCACCCCTGTGGGAGACCCAGGTGGAGTACCAGGCTCCTGGCTTCAGCCTGGCCACGTCCCAGCTGTTGCGACCATTTGGAGAGTGAACCAGCAGAGGGAAGCTCTCTTGAACTCTGCCTTTCAAATAAATACATTTTAAAAAAAGAATAACTGCCATGTGGGGAGCCCTCTCCTACACCTTCTGCCTATGCCCTCCTAAGGATAAGCAGTGGTCTACTTAGAACAGCAGAGATGGATTTTACCTATTTTTAAAATATAAATTATTTAAATTTAATGATTTAATATAAATGATAAATTTCATTTGATATAAACTTTTAATATAAATGATATAAATTTCATTTGATATAAAAAATATGCAGTACCTACCCTTGTGTCTGGCATCTGATACTCATATTTGTGAGATTTATCTATGCTATTGCATGAGGTTCCAGTTCATTCTCCCTGCTGTACAGTAGTCCCTTGTACATATGACTCAACACAATAGAGTTATTCTGGTTAATCCTAAAAATTAATAATATATGCTTAAAATCTCAGTTTGAACATGATAAATGTGAATTAAAAATTTTTACCAATATCATGTAGTCTTGCAACTAATTTTTTCTCCAGTGATAGATTTGTGCAATTTTGTAGTAATTATGAGAAGAAATGAAACTACAGAATCTAATTGCAAAATATATTGACATTATTTACATTGCTGGTCTATGGTCATTCTAATAATTTCTTTATTCAGTCCTTCACTTGTTCATTCAAAAATAATTATTTGTGGGGAGCAAACCGGACTAGACTGAGTTACTGGAATTAAGACTTATTGTATGCATCTGCTCTCCCACAATATGGCGCTGGGAGAGAAGTAAACAGCTTCCGCACAGCTGCCTCCAGTTCAACTAATAAACTGTAGGACTTGCTACTGATTGGAGGAGAGCAGCGTACTCGGCGTGTGGGCAGCCGAGTTAGGATTGGCGGAGGAGGACTATAAAGGAGGAGAGAGACGGCATGCACCAGGAACATCTAAGGGGAACATCTAGCTGAAGGAACACCTGTGCAGCCCCCGAGAAGAGCCGGCCGGCGGTGTGCCGCTCCCCTGCGGAAGTGGGGAATGTGGCCAGGGGGAACTGCCCTTCCACGGAGGTGGAAGGGATAGTAGCCAACCCGGGAAGAACCAGCAGCAAACCCGGGGAGGGCCGAGCAGACGAAAGAACAGCGCAGGGTCCTGTGTCGTTCCTCCGCGAAGAGGGGGAGCGACATAATGGTGCCGTGACTCGGATATGAAGCCTAGGCAGGGTTCAGTGTCGTTCCTCCACGAAGAGGGGGAGCGACAATTATTAAATTTGTCATAAAGGTTCACATTAAGCTGCCATGTATGATGCCAGCATCCCATATCAGAGTGCCAGTTTGAGTCCTGGCTGCTCTGCTTCCGATCCAACTCCCTGCTAATGTGCCTGGGAAAATAGCAGAAGATGGCCCAAGTACTTGGGTCTCTGCCACCCACATAGGAGACCTGGACTGAGTTTTGGGTTCCTGGCTTTGACCTGGCCATTGTGGCCATCTGGGGAATGAACCCGTGGATGGAATATCTTGATCTCTCTCTCTCTGCCTTTCAAATAAATAAATATTTAAAAGAAAAATGTCTATCATGTCTTCAGTGGAGTATGGATACAGTTGAAAAGATGTGTTGGCTTACCCATGGCTTATCACTTCACGTTCACAAGATAGAGCCTTATATCTGATCACTCCAGTGAGTACATCAGCCCAGACAAGGAATAGAAGGCTCCAGTTGCCTGCAGAGAAAATATAAAAATAAAAACCAGCCTGTACTGGTGTAACTACCTTCTTACCAGGGAAGAAATCTGTCTCCGTACTGTTTGTTGTCAGAGAAATGGAATGAGCAAGATGAACTTTGATTAGTGATTCTCAACTTTCAGAATCACTGAGGGTCTCTTAGACAATCCCAAGTGATCGGGGTGTGTTGGGGTGCGGCAGGTTAGGCTGCCACGTCCGAAGCTGACCTCACGTATCAGAGCACCAGTTCAGGTTCTAGGTGCTCCGCTTCAAGTGGAGCTTCCTGCTGCTGTTCCTGAGAAGGCTGCAGAAGATTGACCCATGGTGGAGACCAGGATGGAGTTCCTGGCTCCTGGCTTGGGCCTGGCCTAGACCTGCCTTTTGCCGTCTCTGTCTCTGCCTCTCTTTGTCCCTCTGCCTTTCCAATAAATAATAAATCTTTTGTAACAGAAAATTCCAGTGATTTCAATGCTGTCCAGACCAGGAGATGGAACTTATTCTACTGTCCCCATTGAGTGGAGGCTGCACTGAGATTTTGGAAAGGGTAAGGATCTGTACAGTGGCAAACTCTGGGAAACAGTTACCCAGTGAGCAAGGTGAACTCTGGGAAACAGTTACCCAGCTAAGCAAGGTGAACTCTGGGAAACAGAGTTACCCAGCTAAGCAAGGTGAACTCTGGGAAACAGTTACCCAGTGAGCAAGGTGAACTCTGGGAAACAGAGTTACCCAGCTAAGCAAGGTGAACTCTGCGAAACAGTTACCCGGTGAGCAAGGTGAACTCTGGGAAACAGTTACCCAGCTAAGCAAGGTGAACTCTGGGAAACAGAGTTACCCAGCTAAGCAAGGTGAACTCTGGGAAACAGTGTTACCCGGTGAGCAAGGTGAACTCTGGGAAACAATTACCCGGTGAGCAAGGTGAACTCTGGGAAACAGTTACCCAGCTAAGCAAGGTGAACTCTGGGAAACAGAGTTACCCAGCTAAGCAAGGTGAACTCTGGGAAACAGTGTTACCCGGTGAGCAAGGTGAACTCTGGGAAACAATTACCCGGTGAGCAAGGTGAACTCTGGAAAACAGTTACCCAGCTAAGCAAGGTGAACTCTGGGAAACAGAGTTACCCAGCTAAGCAAGGTGAACTCTGGGAAACAGAGTTACCCAGCTGAGCAAGGTGAACTCTGGGAAACAGTGTTACCCAGCTGAGCAAGGTGAACTCTGGGAAACAGTGTTACCCAGCTGAGCAAGGTGAACTCTGGGAAACAGTTACCCAGCTAAGCAAGGTGAACTCTGGGAAACAGAGTTAACCCAGCTAAGCAAGGTGAACTCTGGGAAACAGAGTTACCCAGCTAAGCAAGGTGAACTCTGGGAAACAGTGTTACCCGGTGAGCAAGGTGAACTCTGGGAAACAGAGTTACCCAGCTAAGCAAGGTGAACTCTGGGAAACAGAGTTACCCGGTGAGCAAGGTGAACTCTGCGAAACAGTGTTACCCAGCTGAGCAAGGTGAACTCTGGGAAACAGTGTTACCCGGTGAGCAAGGTGAACTCTGGGAAACAGAGTTACCCAGCTAAGCAAGGTGAACTCTGGGAAACAGTGTTACCCAGTGAGCAAGGTGAACTCTGGGAAACAGAGTTACCCAGTGAGCAAGGTGAACTCTGGGAAACAGTGTTACCCAGCTGAGCAAGGTGAACTCCATGGCTGGTTGTGTTTGGGGCGTTTCCCTAATACCATGTGATGAGAAGGGCACTTCATCTCTGCTCTTTTTTTTTACTTGACAGAGTTATAGACAGAGAGAGAGAAAGGTCTTCCTTCTGTTGGTTTACCCCCCAGATGGCTGCCATGGCCGGTGCTGTGCCGATCCAAAGCCAGGAGCCAGGTGCTTCCTCCTGGTCTCCCATGCGGGTGCAGGGCCCAAGCACTAGGGCCATCCTCCACTGCCCTCCTGGGCCACAGCAGAGCTGGACTGGAAGAGGAGCAGCCGCCCATATGGGATGCCGGCGCCGCAGGCAGAGGATTAACAAATTGAGCCAAGGTGCCGGCCCTGCTCTTCTTTCTAAAACACTGTAACCTTGGTCTCACCTGTGAAAAGCATCAAACACAAATCGAATGAAAGTCTACGAAACAGCTGGTATCCCTCAAAACTGTCAAAGTATTGAAAAATAAGGCACCACTGAGAATCCATTACCAATCAAAGAGGCAAAGGGTGCATAGTGACCGAATATGAAGCGTCGTCCCATATGGGATCCAGGAACAGGAAAGGCTGTGAGATGAACATTGAAATCTGAAGGAAACCGCCGGCTGAGTTACTAATGATGTAGCAATCATGTTTTCCTGCTGTGACAAATGGCAGATGCTAATGGAAGGTGGTGAGATGATAACCATGGGGCGGAGATGGGGAAGTTGCGTCAACCAAAGGTGGTGAATGGGAAGCTGGGTGAAGATGTGTCCCTGGGGCTCTTCACACTGTGCATGCGTTCACACTTTCCATGTCCTTGAGGATTTCCCTTTAAAGTCCATTTTCTCCCTTTAATGGTTGATTTGAAAGGCAGAGTGTCAAAAGGAGAGACACAGATCTTTCCACTGGTTCCCTTCCCAAATGGCCACAACAGCCAGATCTGGGCCAAGCCAAAGCCTGGATCCAGGTACTCTGTATGGGTGTCAGGGGCCCAAGTATTTGGACCATCCTAGGCTGCCCTCCCAGGCACACTAGCAGAAAAGTGGATCAGAAGCAGAGCAGCCGGGACTCAAACCTACACTCCCTTGTAGGATGCTAGCATTGCAAGTGGCAGCTCTAGGTGCTATGCTGTGGGGAGCAGCTCAGACTAGACTGTTACTGGAATTAAGACTTATTCTATGCACCTGCTCTCCCACAATATGGCGCTGGGAGAGAAGAAAACAGCTTCTACACAGCTGCCTCCAGTTCAACCAATAAACTGTAGGACTTGCTCCTGATTGGAGGAGAGCAGCGTACTCGGCGTGTGGGCAGCCGAGTTGGGATTGGCAGAGGAGGACTATAAAGGAGGAGAGAGACGGCATGCACCAGGAACATCTAAGGGGAACATCTAAGGGAACACCTGTGCAGCCCCCGAGAGAGCCGGCCGGCGGTGTGCCGCTCCCCTGCGGAAGTGGGGAATGTGGCAGGGGGAACTGCCCTTCCACGGAGGTGGAAGGGACAGTAGCCAACCCGGGAAGAACCAGCAGCAAACCCGGGGAGGGCCGAGCAGACGAAAGAACAGCGCAGGGTCCTGTGTCGTTCCTCCACGAAGAGGGGGAGCGACATAATGGTGCCGTGACTCGGATAGGAAACTTAGGACGGATAGGAAACCTAGGACGGATAGGAAACTTAGGAGGGAAGAAACGGGAAGAACTGGGAAAATATCGGAGAGAGAGACTAACAAACAGCCTAGGGAAAAGCCGGACGAAAAAGGTGCCGGAAGGAGCTATTGAAAGCCTAGGCATAGACTCAGATACGGACTACGGGGGGAAGCTGGGAGAAATCTCTAAGGTCGAAAGCGAAAGTGAAAGCTAGAACAAACAGACTCGGATGCGGACTGTGGGGAGAGGCCAGGAGAAATGAGGGAGGAGTATTGTTGGAGGAAAGCTTGGGGAAACATACCGGGTAGAGAAAAATGTTAGGGAAATTGAAGCCGCGGGGGGCAGGCCGAGGCGGAGACGAAAGCCACTTTGGGATTCTCAAGTTAGCCCGGGAATAGGGGGCGAAAAGTTAAAACCAGAAGCGGAAATGTAAGCCGGATTGGGATCCGTCTGATTAGCCCGGGGAACTTAGATTGAATGCTAATGGCGGAGACGTAAGCTACGCTGTGTGACTCGCGGAGGCTGCCGCGCGCAGACAGAGCGCGCGGGGCTCAAGTAGATAGGGAACGCTGGGCTAAGTGCGAGACCGCGGAGTGTGCGCGCAAAGCCGAGCCGCGCAGATGAGAGAGGCGCGGGCTGAAGCGGCTCAGAGCCGGAAAGCCGCCGAGAAGCAGCCTCGGGGCGGGCGCCGGGAGGCCGCGGGGATAAGAGAAACAGAAGTTTAGAAGTAAAATGGGAGAAATAGGAATGCCCGGAGATAGAGAAATAGAGAAATAGAAAGGCCTCCCCACAACACAGCAATGTGAGAGCTTGGATTCGGTCTGCCTGATTAGTAAGGCAGTAAGCACCAACAGGCGGCTCGACCAGAGTATGAGCTGCAGGTCACCGAAGATAGGCACGAACCAACACTAATAAGTCTCCCCCACAATATGGCAATGAGAAAGCTTGGATTCGGTCTGCCTGATTAAGGCGGTAAGCACCAGCAGGCGGCTCGACCAGAGTATGAGCTGCAGGTCACCGAAGACAGGCACGTATCAGCGCCTAAAAACCTCCTCACAACATGGCGAAGAGAGGACCCGGATTCGGTTTGCCTGATTGATAGGACTTGTAAGAACCTGTGGCAACTCTAGCAAGTAGAGCAGAGTGTGTGCCGCGGGACACCGAAGACAGGCGCGTATCAACGCCAAAAAATAAAAAGAAAGGGGGATCTGTGGGGAGCAGCTCGGACTAGACTGTTACTGGAATTAAGACTTATTCTATGCACCTGCTCTCCCACAATATGGCGCTGGGAGAGAAGAAAACAGCTTCTACACAGCTGCCTCCAGTTCAACCAATAAACTGTAGGACTTGCTCCTGATTGGAGGAGAGCAGCGTACTCGGCGTGTGGGCAGCCGAGTTGGGATTGGCAGAGGAGGACTATAAAGGAGGAGAGAGACGGCATGCACCAGGAACATCTAAGGGGAACATCTAAGGGAACACCTGTGCAGCCCCCGAGAGAGCCGGCCGGCGGTGTGCCGCTCCCCTGCGGAAGTGGGGAATGTGGCAGGGGGAACTGCCCTTCCACGGAGGTGGAAGGGACAGTAGCCAACCCGGGAAGAACCAGCAGCAAACCCGGGGAGGGCCGAGCAGACGAAAGAACAGCGCAGGGTCCTGTGTCTTTCCTCCATGAAGAGGGGGAGCGACACTATGCCACAGCACTGGCCCCTGCCTTCGAAGTCTTCAAATGTGAACTTTGTTGTAGTAAATAGTAAGTCTAACTTGCTAATAAGCACAATGGTTTATAGCATGGATTTTGGTGTCAAGAATTGCGTTAGAATTCCAATTTTGTCACTTTTTGGAGGGCAAGTGACAATTTTCTAAACCTTAATTTATCTATAAAATGCAAGTAACAATCATAATACCTAACAAGGCTGTTTTAAGGGATTAAGTAAATAAAACATGTAACATGCATTGTTATGGTGCATGACATAAACACAATAATTTGAAAGTTTCCTTACTTGGCATACTTGGCATATTAGTTTAGTCTCCTAGTTGTAATTTACAAAACGCACTTCACTTTGATTAAGCAAAAATGGTGCAGTTTATGGAGTGGGCATTGTGACAGCAGGTTAAGCCTCCACTTGGGACACCCACCTCACATATCAGAATGCAGGATTGAGTCTTACCTCTGCTTCTGACCCAACTTGCCGCTGCTGTGCTGGGAGGCAGCAAATGATGCCTGACGTACATGGGTCACTGCTGCCCACATGGCCTTGACCTGGCCCCTAAGGCTCTGTGGGCCTCGGAGTGAACCAGCAGATGGAAGATCTCACTGGCCCTCCCTCTGTCATTCTGCCTTTGAAATAAATAAATAAACACTTTTTTGAAAAGTTCAGAGAAATTGTATATTATTAAAAAACTATGCATGGATTTCAAAATTTTTACACCAAAATAAAGTTACCTTTTAATTCCATACTCTTATCAGTTTTTTTTTTTTTTTTTTGAGGTAACCTAATGCCAGTTGGCCCTATCTGTTGATCATTTGATTTTTTTGGCATATGGTTAAGAAAAATCATGGATGATAAATTTCCTTGTCCTGTATGAACCTAACAAATTAAAATCCTAAGGTCACAAAAATTTGAATTTAATCTGAATTTAATCTCAAGTATTTGGCAAAGCTAACTGTCCTTAATGAAGAACATATATGCTATGTAGTTCAGAATCTTACATTTATTGTAATGGTCTAATACTTCACAAGAGTAAACTTTTAGGAGAAAATCTTTCTTCTCTGTTAGCATGTTGGTTTATACATTTAGTACAGATTGGCTTAAAATGGGGTTATATCCTGATCAATGCATCTTAAATTGAAAACATCAGGAGTCTGAAATGCATTTAACCGCCCCAACCTACCAGATAATTCAGCAGAGTGCAGCATGGAACGTTGACAAATGCCCCTTGTCGCCAGGGGGCTGACTGCACGCTGTGTTTGCCGCGGCCTCCCAGCATCATCAGAGACGATCAGACCTCGTAACGCTAACCCGGGAAAAGGTGCACATCCAGAATCCGAACCACAGGGCTGCCGTTCTGGTGCATATCGGTTCTGCACCATTGTGAAGCTGGGGAAATTGTACCTCTGTGAAACCATCATAAACTGGGAATTGTCTGCACTGGAAATTCTACATAGAAGATAAAAGATTTGCAGAAGCCCCAAAGAAAAGTTACTCAATTATAATTAAGCAAGTACAGCCAAAAATATTAACACATCAAGATAAGCAGGCATAGGATTGTCAATTTATATATTTTTCCCCAAATGGTATCCTTGGGTGGAAATAATGCTTGGGGGTTAATACAAGGAAGGAGTAATATGAAAAAGAATACGACTCCTTTGTAGGAAATCTTAATGCTTTCTCTTTTCTCAGACCCACGTTAGGTCCAATCAGGTACTTGCAAGGACGCTCATGGGAAGACATTCTGCTTGGTGGTTGTCTGCCCGCCCCAGAATAATAGTGTTATTCACTCATATATGCTTCCATTTGGGAAGAACAGGTGCGGTTTAGCACACTGTCTCTTCACCCAAGTTTTTTTTTTTTTTTTTTTTTTTTTTTTTTTTTTTTTGTTGACAGGCAGAGTGGACAGTGAGAGAGAGAGACAGAGAGAAAGGTCTTCCTTAGCCGTTGGTTCACCCTCCAATGGCCGCCGCGGCCGGCGCACCGCGCTGATCCGATGGCAGGAGCCAGGAGCCAGGTGCTTTTCCTGGTCTCCCATGGACCAGAGCCCTGATAAACCAGGGTGGACCCCAGACCAGCAGCTGAATCAGAATCTGCATTTTAGTGAGTTTTCCAGATGAGTCTTGTTTTTTGTTTTTGTTTTAAGATTTATTTTATTTATTTGAAAGGCAGAAGATCGAGAAAGAGGGAGAAACAATGCAGAGAATCTTCTCCATCTGCTGGTTCACTCCCCAGATGGCTGCTACAGCCAGGGCTGGGCCAGGGGAAGCCAGGAGTCAGGTGCTCCGTCTGGGTGGCAGGGTCTCAAGCAGTTGGGCCATCCTCTGCGACTTCTTTCCCAGGCACATTGGACCAAACAGCACTCAAACCAGGGCTCATAGCGGGTGCTGGTGTCGCAGGTGCTGGCGTAACCCGCTGTGCCCCGGTACCAGATGAGTCTTGCACACCTCAGCATTGGAGAAGGGCTGCCACGAAGGAACAGGGACAGGGAGAGGATTTGAAAGCCAACATGGCGAACAGCAGGAATGCAAAGTGCAGGGGTCAGCTGAGGGCCTCCCCAGCATTCATTATCTGGCTGTTAATCGACCCAGTGCCTTACAAGCATGCAACCTCAGACTCCTCTTCTCTCACCTCAATTCTGGGGGAAATCTGGGGACTCAAAACAAGCAATAAAGGGGCCGGCGCTGTGGCGTAGTGGGTAAAGCCACCGCCTGCAGTGCCGGCATCCCATATGGGTGCTGGTTCGAGTCCCGGCAGCTCCGCTTCCGATCCAGCTCTCTGCTATGGCCTGGGAAAGCAGTAGAAGATGGCCCAAGTGCTTGGGCCCCGCACCCATGAGGGGGACCCCAAAGAAGCTCCTGGCTCCTGGCTTAGGATCAGCCCACTGAAGGGACATCTTCAGCAAAGTGAAGCCAGGCTCATTACTTGATACGCAAGAGAGTCAAGTTGCATTAGCAAAAGAAACAAATCCAGAGGTTTAAACCTGTCATGTTAAACTTCCTCTTGCATTTATTAAAAGTTGCAAGACGTCACTCTCACCCCAGCAATGAGAATACGCTAGATAAGGTGCAATATTATTGTTGTATAAACTCAGCGGAAAGCTAAGGCCACAAAGAAGCCTGAGCAACTAAATTCCAGAAGTGGTGAACCCTTCCCAGGACAGACATCCACAAGCTCTTCCATTCTTGGCATCCGGGCAAGAGACAGAAGACTCTGTGCTGGTGGAGCCGAGGAGAAACCAGCTACCTGCTAACAGGTTTGTGAGAGCCTTGGCGGTTTGGTGGGATGGGTTGGGCGCCGGTCACCAGCACATCTGCCCTCACCTGCCCACTGGGACCCCTCGCCACTAAATCTCAAGTTTCCTACTCATGAGGTGAAGGTGATAGTACTACCTCCATCATATATTTGTCATCAGGATTAAATGCAGAATTAACATTTACTTACTTAGGGGCTGCCATCTGGTACAGAGATTACGTCACTACGTGGGACTCTCACTTCCCGTATCATAGTGTCTGGTTTGAGTCCAGGCTCTGCTTCTGATCCAGCTTCCTGGGAGGCTCAGGTGCTTGGGATTGGAAGTTGAGCAGCCGGGACTTGAACTGGCACTCACGTGGGATGCCCGCATTGCAGGCTACAGCTTAACTCACTGAGCCACAATGCCGACCCCCAACGAAAACTATTTTTAAAGATCATGTCAGCATTATTAGAATCTGTTAAATCATATTGTGATTTTTTTAGGTGCATAGGGGTATGGAGTCAGACTGCCTGGCTTTAAGTCCTATCTGTCATTTACTAGCTGTACCGTACATGGTATGCCTTTTTTAAAAGTATACTTAATTATTTTTATTTATTTAAAAGACAGAGTATGAGGGAGAGATCTTTCATCTGCTGGTTCACTCCCAAAATTCCCATAACAGCCAGGACTGGGCAAGGTCAAAGCCAGGAGCCAGGAACTCCATCCAGGTCTCTCTTGTGTGTGGCAGGGACCTAAGTACTTGAGCCATCATCTATTGCTTTCCGGGGCGCACGTTAGCAGGAAGTTGGAGTAGAATGTTGAGTCAGGACCCATAACCAGGCACTCGGATATGGGATGTGTGCATCGCAAGAGGCAGCTTAACCTGTTGTGTCACAAGACCCCTACCCCTCATTTTTTTAATTTATTTATTTGACAGATAGAGTTAGACAGTAGAGAGAGAGACATAGAGAAAGGTCTTCCTTCTGTTGGTTCACCCCCCAAATGGCCGCTACGGTCAGAACTATGCTGGCCAGGAGCCAGGTGCTTCTTCCTGGTCTCCCACGTGGGTGCAGGTGCCCAAGCACTTGGGCCATCCTCTACTGCCTTCCCGGGCCACAGCAGAGAGCTGGACTAGAAGAGGAGCAACCAGGACTTGAACCTGGCGCCCATATGGGATGCCAGTGCCACAGGCAGAGGATTAACCTAGTGAGCCACAGCGCCAGGCCCCCTTCATTTTTAAAAAGCAACGTCCATGGGCCAGCACTGTGGCCTGGTAGGATAAGCCTCTGCCTGCAGCACTGGCATCCCTTATGGGTGCTGGTTAGAGCCCCAGCTGCTCCACTTCCGATCCAGCTCCCTGCTAATGGCTTGGGAAAGCAGTGGAAGATGACCCAAGTGTTTGGGCCTCTGCACACATGTGGGAGACCTGGAAGAAGCTCCAGGATCCTGGCTTTGGATCAGCCCAGTTCCGGCTGTTGCAGCCATCTGAGGAGTGAACCAGCAGATGGAAGACCTCTCTCTGTCTCTCCCTCTGTAACTTTGCCTTTCAGATAAATACATAAAAATATTTTTTAAAAATTTCTAAATCTCGGCTGGCGCCGTGGCTCACTAGGCTAATCCTCCGCCTAGCGGCGCCGGCACACCGGGTTCTAGTCCCAGTCAGGGCGCCGGATTCTGTCCCGGTTGCCCCTCTTCCAGGCCAGCCCTCTGCTGTGGCCCGGGAGTGCAGTGGAGGATGGCCCAGGTGCTTGGGCCCTGCACCCCATGGGAGACCAGGAAAAGCACCTGGCTCCTGGCTCCTGCCATCGGATCAGCGTGGTGCGCTGGCCGCAGCGTGCCGGCCGCGGCAGCCATTGGAGGGTGAACCAACGGCAAGGGAAGACCTTTCTCTCTGTCTCTCTCTCGTACTGTCCACTCTGCCTGTCAAAAAAAAAAAAAATTTCTAAATCTCAAGTTTCTACCACCTACGTAGGAGTCCCAGGTGGAGTTCCCAGCTCCTGGGAAAGTAAACAAGTAAAAATTAAAAATAAACACTTAGAATGGGGCTAGGCAGGTCAATGATGGGGAAAATGAAAGATATGACATGAATTTTTAAAAATCAGCACTTCATGTGAAATCTTTTACCCTGCCACCAAAAAGGAATCTGGCTTGTTGAATACGCAACACTGTGTTACATGTGTTAAAAATCTCTATCCTGACCCAGTCAGCTATGACGTGGTACCTAGTAAGTTATTCCAATAGGAGGAGCTCTGACCAAGGGTTTTAAAAACACAGACCCACACAAAGTACCTGCTTGGGGGATCCAGACCTTCCATGCCCTAGAATTTGTGCATCCTCTGCTCCCTGTGTCATGGTAGAGAAATTAAAAAAAAAAAAAAGATTTATTTCTTTATGTGAAAGGCCAAGAGAGAAGAGCTGGCATTGTATTTTTTTTATTTTTTTATTTTTTTTTTATTTTTTTTGACAGGCAGAGTGGACAGTGAGAGAGAGAGACAGAGAGAAAGGTCTTCCCTTGCCGTTGGTTCACCCTCCAATGGCCGCCGCGGCCAGCGCGCTGCGGCTGGCGCACCGCGCTGATCCGATGGCAGGAGCCAGGAGCCAGGTGCTTTTCCTGGTCTCCCATGGGGTGCAGGGCCCAAGCACCTGGGCCATCCTCCACTGCACTCCCTGGCCACAGCAGAGAGCTGGCCTGGAAGAGGGGCAACCGGGACAGAATCCGGCGCTCCGACCGGAACTAGACCTGGTGTGCCGGCGCCGCTAGGCGGAGGATTAGCCTAGTGAGCCGCGGCGCTGGCGCTGGCATTGTATTGTAGTGGGGTAAGCCACAGCCTGTGATGCCAGCATCCCATATGGGCACCAGTTCCTGTCCTGGCTGCTCCACTTAGTCCAACTCCCTGCGAAAGCAACGGAAGATGGCCCAAGTATGTGGACCCCTGCACCCACATGGGAGACCAGGATGAAGCTCCCGGCTCCTGACTTAGGCCTGGCCCAGCCCTGGCCATTGTGGCCATTTGGGAAGCGAGGCAGTGGCAGTGGGTAGAAGATCTCTTTCTTTCTTTCTTTCTCTCTCTCTCTCCTTCTCTAATTCTGCCTTTCAAATACATACATAAAAATAAAAGTAAATAAAAATAAAGGGGAGGCCGGCGCCGCAGCTCAATAGGCTAATCCTCTGCCTGCGGCGCCGGCACACCGGGTTCTAGTCCCGGTCAGGGTGCCAGATTCTGTCCCGGTTGCTCCTCTTCCAGGCTAGCTCTCTGCTGTGGCCAGGGAGTGCAGTGGAGGATGGCCCAAG